ACAAAATGTGTGTGAGCTGTGACATAGGCCACATGTGTGTATACAAAATGTGTGTGAGCTGTGACATAGGCCATATGTGTGGACAAAATGTGTGTGAGAAGTGGGAAGTACTGAGAACAATACCATTTTAGGGCGATGGAGATTTATAGTATTTTATAAACGTATCAATAAAAGTTTTTAAATGTAGATCTAGCCTTAATTGTTGTGGAAGAACATGATGAAGTAAAGACAAATTGATACAAACTGCTGTACAAAGTATGGACGACATTGATTCACCCGTTAAAGAAATAGTATTTTTTGAGGACAAGTTGCGCCAGGAACTTTGACAGAACTATCGGTGCGTTTCTTGTCAGTTGAGCTTTTCAAAGAAACAAGCTGTCAGGAACACAGTCAGACACACAGCAAACACACATCAGTCAGTTAGTTTTAGTAGAGGTTTTACAGCGCTCACAACTGAATAAGGTCATAACCTTTAACACACTACTGCTACATTAACCTTTACCACACTACAGCTACATTAACCTTTACCACATTACTGCTACATTAACCTTTACCACATTACTGCTACATTAACCTTTAACACACTACAGCTACATTAACCTTTAACACACTACAGCTACATTAACCTTTAACACACTACAGCTACATTAACCTTTACCACATTACTGCTACATGCTGCTTTTCCTCAAAGTCTTCCCAACTTCTGTGTTACCCAGGTTCCTCCAACAACATTGAGTGAAATCATTTGAAAAACTGCTACATGATTCTGAGGACAACAGATGGATGGGTCCTTTCTCTCCTTGGTACAGCCTTGTTCTGTCAGTTTGTGAACCAGTGTACTCCGTCACTCCGGGGTCTTTGTGAAGTTACCACACAAGATGGCAAAGACTTGAACAAAAACTGTCTCAATAAGCACATCTGGGTCTCTCTTTCACCACAAGGTGAGTGGACTTAGACTGGCTCACACTCATCTACATGTGCCAATCAGGCTTCCCCCACCTAGGTGACAGCTTCCAACAAGATCGTGTGACGTCAGCAAAACAAGCAACAACAACCAATTTGAAGTTTGGAGTTTTCAAAAATATGAAAACAGAAAGATATGTCCCCGAAATTCTTGCGTCCCTCAATTTGTGTGAGTTTTCCAACCAATGAATGAACCAGAACCGTTTGACTTAGTTAGCAGTATAGGGTTTAACTTACCAACACAAAGGAAACATACAACAAACAAGAAAAGTAAAAGAAAACTATAGGTAAAAAAAGTTTAAAAAATAATTAATTCACCGTACAAGAACATTCAAAAATCAAAATTACTTCCCAGACCATAGAGCATTGTAAAGGTGGGTTGT